TACGATTGAAATATATCGTTATCATTGAGGTGATATTATCGTTGAGGTGATAGGCCCGTGCTCCGCACGGGCAATTTCATGGAAATTCTGCTACAGCAGCCGTTGGGCCCGAGTAAGTAGTTGCAAGTGAGATATTGCATAGTGATTAACATAAGAGTAAGCACGAATCTATTATAATACGGTCATCATTCTTATCTATCTACGCGATCTTTTATGGACAATATGCTTATTTCTTTTTTATAGTGTGCTAGCAACTACTTAGCTAGAGCGTCTTCTAGCTGCGCGATTAGGGTAATTAGTGTTATATAGGTATTCGCGTCGAGAGTGTACGGTTGGGCGCGTTGGTGTATATAACTAACTAGGGAGCCATAGTTAGTATATTGCACGATGACCACTAGTGGCTTAATATAGTGATATCAGTATTATCTAGAACAAATATTATGAAAGTACTAACTATAAGATGACACTTATATTGGGCTGTTAGCAATTACGAGTATCCTTGCTACTATAATGATATTTCTCTGCGATACAAAACAACGTTATTACCGCTTATTCTTTGCTAGATACTAGAATATATAGCTGTCTTTACCCGCCTTAGCGAAGCTGCAGAACATACAGGACTTCTCCAAAGACTCTAGTGCTTGCTAAACTGTACAGGGTATTCATATCCACCTATTGATCTAATCCCGCTGTTGCTTCGCCCCACTTTGTCCTCATCTTCTTAGGCTTTCATATCTGCATACATACATACGTAAAAACCTAGTGTTACCTAGCTACTTTACTTGGGTGAGTATGGCTCGATGGGCTGTATTTCGTGCCGCTTGTCTTCTGGCTACTTTGGCTGCCTTTGTGGCTGCAAATCCTGTGTTAATAGTAAGTACTTGCTCGGCTGTCGCTTGATATAGCATCGGGTTCTAGAACGTAATTAGACGCGTAAGACACCCAAACATTCGATACAAATCCTTTATGGGAAACTTGCACACCAAGACCCAAACGATTCAAATAAAAAAGCCTACTGGTATGTATGGTCAGTATGGGTTGGTCCACAAGGTGTTGCAGTAGACCCCTGCAAACCAGGACCATTCTCATTCAGTCGCACAGCAAACGCAGAGGGATATGCCATAGATGGTGGCAAGATTCTGTATCGCGAAATCACAGACCCACGATACCCAAATGAAGGGTCCTGGCCGGTGGTGGCATATCCCGAGTATAGTGACCCGAAGGATGATCCTAATTGCGTAATTAAGGGTAAAGGCGAAAAGGGTCCTGCAGTACTTGAGTGTGGCGAGACCAAGATTGAATTTCATAAGGATGCGCAATTTGATGACCAACTCATGAAATGTGGCGATGATGAGTACCATAGGGCATGGACTGTGGAGTATTAAGGCCCATCGCCATCAGTACTACGAGCCTAGGGTTAGGTCTAGGTAAAGACGTGATTTCTAATTTCCTAAATAGGTAATAAAATTTCTAT